GGCTCGACCTGAACGAGATGTTGGCGGCCGGGGGTATCCGTAGCGGCACCGGTGGGTCGCAAGTGGTGAACGCCGGCGACCGGTTCGCCGTACGACTCGACTGTCAACACTTCACACCGGAAGAGGTCACCGTCAAAGTGGTCGGCCATCAGCTCGTCATACACGGCAAGCACGAGGAGCGCACCGACAGTCACGGATGGATACAACGAGAATTTACGCGCCGGTATGTAGAAAGGGGGGGTCAGGGAGTGGGAGTTTATTAAGTTACCTAGCTACGGAAAATATTACCTACTTGATTAATTTACTGGATATATACTGTAGGTATGTATTGCCGGATGGGTGCGACCCTGAAAAAGTGTTGTCCAGTTTGGATGCGAAGGGCATACTGTCCATAGAGGCGCCCAAAAAGGCTTTGCCCCTACCGGACAAAAACGAACGTATTGTTCCCATTAAAATGAAAAAGTGAACATGATCATGTTGAGCAGAGTGATACTTGACAGTCAACGTTATTATTTATATTTATTAATTACTGTAAATTGTAAAAATTGTATTTATGGTATACAGGTATCAATATATAAATTATGTTTTTCCAAATTAGTGCTTCCAAGTTAGTATAATAATTACTTTGAATTAATTTTATTTAAACTTGAAAATTTAAATTTCAGATAATAGATACATTATTTTATAAAGTTTGAAAATAAAATATTTATTTTTTTGTTATATAAAATAAATTATATATTTACTCGAATACTATAACATTTATCATTTAATTTATCAATTATAAATTAAAGTTTAATACAATAATTTCTAATTATGCAGGTTTATATAAACTTAATGTTTATGTGTTTGTTATTTAATAACATTTACGTAATTGAAGTGTTTTGATGTTTTCCAATGTATTGCATCATATGTAATATTGTAGTAAACAAGGAAATAAAATAATACAAAAATAGATATGTCCTTGAATGTCTAGACTAGAATTTATATATTATATAAATAACGTTGCACAATTTTAATATAGATTTCAATGAATAGAAATTAGAGTTTAAATAATTTTTGTGAAGATTTCTCAACAATGTTATATTTTATAACTTGAATTTAATTAGTATTGATAAACTACGGTAATAGCTAATTAATAAAACAATACTGTATGAAGATTAATGTATTTTAAAATAAAATTTATTGCTTTAACTTCCAAAACTATCGTTTATATAAATAATTAAGCAACAAATATTTTTAATTAAAATCACGCTACAATCTAAATAAAATACAGTATATTTACCATAATATTAATTATGGTCTCTCCACTTTAATGATATAACGAGTACCGTATATGCATATACGGTATAACATGCAATATCTGGTAATATATGGAATATCCGGCATTAAATGCCTATGAGATAATTCTACTTGCTGCCATTAAAAATAGGTCTTTCCGGTTCAACAAGCGCCTCCTTATTCACCACAACAACTGGCAGATCTACGTGCAAGTCGTGAGCGTACGGTATATCGAGGGTCACGTGAATCATGTATTTAACGCTTACGATAAAACTCTTAATGGACAGGGAGGCGGTGGTGGGAATGGTGACGAACACACTTTGCGAGTCACAGGTTTCCTGGATGACTTTGTTGCCCATTACCGGTCCGGTGACGGCCGCCTGCAATGACTTATGCCGTTCGCCACACATATAGACCTGAGTCTCGTATAGAGTGACCCGAGGGGTCGCGTCTAATGTCGAGAGATTCGCAACTGTTAAGTGGACCGCAATAGTGTCACCTTGGTCATTTGGCAATCAATCATTTAGTTTTAGGTATTCAATTGACTGAAATTAGTGTTATACATACCCGGAGCAAATCCTTTTTTATACAAACCAGCATGGAGTTTTATCTAATGATTTATAGTAATTATATAAAATGCAGCATAAAATCAATGCAATTAACATACACTTCCACCTCCAATGCTGGGAAAGTTAAACACCTTCTCAACGGTGCCACCCACTGAGACCTAGGTCATATAACAATCAATTACTTGAAAATTATCTAGTCTCTCGCGTTTAAATAATAATAAAAGCAATAGAATTACTTTTAAATTAGTTTGTATAGGTGAGTCCACAGTAAATTTATAAGAAATATTATGCGCCTGGTCAATGTTAGCATTTATGTAATAGTGTATCGATCCGTTTGGGCTTTCAAATGATGAGGGAATACCTCTAAAAAATTGTGAATTAATTATTATTAACAAGGTAATTACTGTTACTCAATATAATTTTTTCATACTCATTCGGCAAAGTAAACTCAAATGGTATGACATGATCACCCGGGCCCATGAACATGTCAGAAACTATTTATTAATATAAAATTTTGATTTAATCATCTAAATTAAATTGAAGTGTTTGTAACATATATCACACAAAACCTCGGTTTAATATATTGGTTTTATAAGTGAGGGAAAATTTAATATAGTTAAAAATAAAATACTCTAGTAAAATAATATTATGTGGACATACATTGCTCAGGCATTTTGTAGACCAAATCAACGTAAGTCTGCTGATCTCTGTACTCCTGTCCCTCGCGGTGGAAGTAAGTGCCGGCGCTCTCAACCCATTTGGATTCGGCCACACATACTAACCCTATGTGCGGGTAGGGCGCACTTTCCGGCCCTAGTATTGTCAATCGCAATAAGCCAGATACTTTATCGCCAGCCAGATAGTGTTGTTTCTTATTGTCCAAGCTAATGTCCAACTTAGATATGTCTGATCGATCCATACTTTAATCTTTGGTCTATAGCAATTGGTCAATATATAATAATAATAATACATTTTTAATTATAATTTTAATATACAGACAATAATAATTATTGTTCAAATACTTGAGAGTGGTGCTTTATTTGAAAATATTATTATAATTTTATTTAACGTCACTGTGGATGTTATATTATTTACGTATTTATTATAAAAATAATAGGTATTAATATAATTTATGATAAAACTGGAGTTACACTATTAATAACAAGCTGGTTTAACAAAAATTATATATTATATTGTTAGTTAACAAACAGTTATTTTGTCAGTTTTTGTGTTGTTTACAGTCTATCAGTCTATGAGTCTGTGAACAGGCAGTCAGTGTACAACCAATGCGTGCCATTTGAGGGCAGGGTGTGTGACATCTCTTATATTTAATACAATCTATTTTTACTACTCTCTTATATACAGTAGAATATTCTACAGTAGTGTTTACCAGAACTGTGTGGCATACAGTGTATGCAATGACTCACACAGTGCATTGGTGACCTTGATTGCAAACTTGAAAACAAATCCCACCCCTCTCACTTCCCCTATTATTGTGTTATTGTATTTTAATTACCATTAAAAATAGTTTGATATTTATTATGTTTAATAATGTTTACGATAATACAACAAATATTAATATGTTTTGTATTTGAAATA